ATTTAGATAAAGATATGGCACAATATCAATAAAAAGTCTGGTCCATCATTTCAATGGAGGGGACCTTTGTGACTACTTTAATTCAGGGTGGCATAAAGAGCACACCTTTCCCTGGTTAATAGTCTCCCTGTTACTGATTGGTTTGAGTATATTCTCCCTGTTTAACTTTTTTTTCTATTCATACAATAGAAAATTACAGAATGGGGTCAGAGGTCACAAACTGGTAACCTATGAACTAAAGTAAGCCAACAGACTGTTATTTTGTTAAGGCAGTTAAGTTTCACCTTTTATTTCTTCTTGTTTTAATGATCTGTAATGCCTGGAGGTAGGGCATGCACACAGATGAGGACCCACGACCCCACCCCAACCACTGAGTTACATCTAGACTGTTTGTATTCCCTGCATGAGTCCTAAAAACATTTGAGTGTGTGACTCTAGGGTTAGACCTTTTGTTAAGTTCTTTAGGCTTCTAAGGTTGTAATTCCTAAAACCTTTTGAGAGACTTAATGTTCTTATCCAACCGCAATTAGTAGAGAGATGAGCTGAAAGGAGATGCATACATAGTCAGGGCTAGCAGGTATCAGGCCCTCTCTGTACATTATCTCCTTTAATCATCACAGCTCCCCAGTGAAGTGCATATTACCATATCCATTTTACAGATGACAAAACAGGCTTAGAGAAGTTAATATCTTGCCCGTGGTCAGAAAGCTTATTAATTGTGGGAATTAGGTTCAAACCCAGATCTGTTTATCTCTAAAACATTCCAATGCCCTAATTTTCCTAATTGGGTAGAAACTTTCCACAAGTATCTCTTGAATAATGAAGGTTAGACACAGACTTTTGAAACATTGTCAAAGTTAGATATATCAAAGATGTCAGATGTCTTAAAAATATCTTAAACTATTTCACAAAATACTTTATTTGCATGGTGGTTTCTTAGTAGGGAATTGCCTTCATGCTGTGCTTTGGAACATACTTGACTGCCAAAAGAGCCCCATAAAAATTAGGAATAATTATTATTGGAGGAAATTTGGCTTTCATTTACACATTGATGTGACTTTAGAAAATATGTCACAGATCACTCAAATTAGAACTGTAAAGAGATTTTATTTCTATCACGTAATTTTTTTTTCTTTCACAGAATACTAGCTCCCTTATAAATTTTAATCTGTATAAAATATTACTGCAACTCCATGTTCCTTAATCTGGAAATAGCACTACTTGATTTATCTAGAAAGTTTACCTGACATAACAGTTCTGGTAAAGAAAAGTTCAGGTATGTCTGAACAAAAGAAGACAGAATATTAATGTGGTCATTAATTGAGTGGAAAGTGTTTAGTTGTGCTGCATTTTCAACTGAGAATTTTGGAAAACTTAAGTCTGCTATAGGGAATAAAGTTAACAATGTTGTAATAGCTATCTATGGTACCAGGTGGGGACTTGAATTATCAGAGGGAACATGTAATCTACATGAATGTCTATCCACTGCTCTGTACACCTGAAACTAACACAAAATAGTATTAAATGCAAACCATAATAGAAAAATAAAATAATTTTTAAAAAGGGAAAAAAAGACTAAGAGAACTGACAACAAAGGCAGATACCCCTTCTCAATATTTTTCCCATTAACTCTTCTTGCCAGAGGCATATGAAGTTTACAACAATTTTAATTCAGTTCAACTTTGCTTTGCTACTAAATTCATTCAAAAACAAACAAACAAGAAAAGGAAATGATTGATTATGAATTTAAGTGATGGAATACCCAAGCAACCATGGTGCTAACATTAGAGCTATTTAACTTTCTTTTATAGCATGGAGGGTGGATATAGGACATAAATTACTTATAATGAAGTACATGACAAAATTTAAAATTACAAATATAGTTGTATAAGTATACTTTATGGAAATATTGAGGCAAGTAATCAAAATAGTTGAAAAAGTGGGAAATGATTTACCCTGCAGAATGAGATTTTGGGGTGTTGTTTCATGATGTAAGAGATTGCTACCCTTTCTAATAAAGAGGGAATATGCTAATTAACCCTCACGCCTTCCCAAAGATGGTGATGCCCACAGCCAATAAGGAGGGAATATGCTAATTGACTGCCACGTCCTCAAAGATGGTGGTGCCCACAGCCACAAGATGGCCAGCAGGGGAGGGCAGTTAGGGGCAACCAGGCCTGCAGGGGAGGGCAGTTGAGAGGGACCAGGCCTGCAGGGGAGGGCAGTTGAGGGGGACCAGGCCGGCAGGGGAGGGCAATTGGGGGCTATCGGGCCGGCAGGGGAGCAGTTAGGTGTCAATCAGGATGGCAGGGGAGTGTTTAGGGGGTGATCAGGCTGGCAGGCAGAAGCAGTTAGGGGCAATCAGGCAGGCAGGCAGGTGAGTGGTTGGGAGCCAGTAGTCCTGGATTGTGAGAGGGATGTCCGACTGCCGGTTTAGGCCTGATCCCACAGGTAAACACATATTATAATATACAGATGATAATATTGTAGAATTATACCTGAACCCTGTATAATTTTATTAACCAATGTCACCTCAATAAACTCAGTAAAAAAGAAAAAAATACAAGTTCCAGAAATTAATGATAAAAATTAATTTTAATTTACATTTAAAAAGTTAAGTCTGTGCATATGAACAGAAACTTTCTACTTAGGGTGGTTCCATGTCACTGGATTGGCTTATAACAAACATGGTGCCAAGAAATGTTCAGAACAAGATGTCTATTTTTAAATGGGAAAAAGAGAAAGATGATACATGGAAGGAAGGAAGGAAGGAAGGAAGGAAGGAAGGAAGGAAGGAAGGAAGGAAGGAAGGAAGGAGAGGAGAGAGAGAGAGAGAGAGAGAGAGAGAAAGAGAGAGAGAGAGAGAGAGAGAGAGAGAGAGAGAGAGAGAAAGAAAGAAAGAAAGAAAGAAAGAAAGAAAGAAAGAAAGAAAGAAAGAAAGAAAGAAAGAAAGGAAGAAAGAAAGAAAGTCTACATGGGGCACTTTTTTATAAATTTTAAATTTAGGATTAACCAGCATTTTTCTGATTTGACCAAAAGATTGATCTAATAATTTTTTTCTTTTACTTAAACAGTGCTCAAATTTATGGATAGATATTTTCTGCAAGTGCAGTGCAAATTATCCTAGACATATTAAAGCAATTAGATGACTGAATTTCACTTTCTGTGAGTGGATCCTGGGGTCTGGGGAGAGGGGTACCGAAGCTGCTGCCCTTTTCAAATAATTCACAAATGTGCTAATTATGTGTCAGATTTGAAAGCTGAGGCATTGTGACCTTCAAGCCAACAAAAGACCTTTTCAAGTAAGCCATTCCATGTACATTAATAAAGTGAACAATGCCCTTCCACACTTAAATAATGTATGGCTGTTATTTCATTATATGTAAATGGAAAGCAAGGAGTGGTTTCACTGTTGACATATTAAAAGAAATGCTATTGAAAACAAAGGCTATAAATCCGTTTTCATAACATTGGTGATATTCTTCAACTAGTCATCCGAAGATACGTTCCTTGTTTGCTCCCATTGCATGCATTTCATGTGTGGTTTCTCCACAACTAAACGTATTTTGGATTTGAGCAATAAAAACTGCAATGTACTGAAGTATATAATGCTAGAAACTGATTGTTGGAAAAGCAAACTCTTTGCAGTGATGAAGACAATGGCGCATTTTGTAGGTTGGGGAAACACTACCCCTCTACACAAATAATCACCTGCTACCAAGAGGAACGGTGAATAACTGAGGCTCAAATGAAGGGAAAAGAATCCCATGCTCTTTCTTGTGGCTCTTTCTTTTTTAAAAAATATTTTTATTGATTTCTTGCCCTAACCGGTTTGGCTCAGCAGATAGAGCGTCGGCCTTCAGACTCAAAGGTCCCAGGTTCGATTCCGGTCAAGGGCATGTACCTTGGTTGTGGGCACATCTCCAGTGGGGAGTGTGCAGGAGGCAGCTGATGAATGTTTCTCTCTCATCGATGTTTCTAACTCTCTCTCCCTCTCCCTTCCTCTCTGTATAAAATCAATAAAATATATTTAAAAAATATTTTTATTGATTTCAGAGAGGAAGGAAGAGGGAGAGAGAGATAGAAACATCAATGATGAGAGAGAATCACTGATCGGCTGCCTCCTGCACGTCCCCCACTGGGGATTGAGCCCACAAGCCAGGCATGTGCCCTTGACGGTAATTGAACCTGGGACCCTTCAGTCTGCAGGCCGATGCTCTATCCACCAAGCCAAATGGGCTAGGGCTCATGTGGCTCTTTCATGGTGTAAAGAAAGTAGTGGTGAATATTGGACTCAGGTAATGGGCATAAAGGTACTTATTTGAGAGAGCAGCGTCTTCACTGGGAGAGCATAAGTTTCAAAAGCAATAACGTATAAAGGAATTTTAGTGTCACTAATGCTTGGATCAAATGGACTTCTGGGATGCCAAACAGTGCCCACGCGGTTGTAGTAGAAAATCAAGAACAGGAAGAAGAATTTAATTATCTTGTATTTGTCCAGCTTTGTAGTATAGTTTATGCTGAATAAAACATGAATAAAGATACAGTCATTCTTAATGCAACTTAAGTAGACATAGAAATCTCTGGGAAATAATAAACTAATTACAAACTTAAAATAAACCACAATCATATGAGATTCCAAGAACTTATTAGCATTCAATCCATAGATAGAAATTTTTTCAGCCCCATAGGAAACCATAATACTTAGCATCTTATTGTGAATTAGATGTTGATACCAAGAGACTATACAGGGCTTACTGATTCACTCACTAGTTATTTCTTTTGTTTTAAATAATTTTATAGGGACCTTTGTTGTTATTTGTAATAGATTTTCAGGATACTTTCATAAAACAGATACCATGGACATTGTGAGAATGCTAATGTTTGTTACTGAGACTTTCAATGTATGGGTACATGTGCTTACTTGTCTAAGAAAACAAATGTTTCTGTATTTTCTTGATAATCTGAAATAATTTTCAATATTTTGGATTGTATTTAAGGTGGCAAATCTTGCTTGTTCCATGTCAACAAATGAAGATGGAATTAAAATTGTCAAAATTGCAGCCAACCACTTGGAAACTTTGTGTCCACAGGTATGACTACGTTACTGTCTCTTTCACTAAACTAGCTGTAAGAATTATCTACAATGCTTCAGACTTTTATACACATGGAACGATATTTAAATATTTATTTTAAACACAGAAGATAACTCGTCGTAAAGTCACGGTTCATTCTTTACTAATCACCTAGTTCTTTACTGAGCACATGGTTCTCGTAACATTCCCTAAGGCCCATATCAGAATTTTGTGAGAGAAAGGTATAGCTTGAATCAAAGCAGTGTTTTGTTCAACAGATTTCATGTCTTTGTCATTATTTATTTTGAAACCTCCAACAGAATGAAAGGAATGACATTTTTGCCCCTTTTATCAAATGAAGGCATGGGTTTGAAAAAAGCCAATAAATGTTTTCCTGTCTGCAATTCAGGAGTTTTTGAAATCTGAAGAGCAATACATTTTTAGGGAATTATTTTTAGATGACTAGTAATCCTGAAGCCATGGATCAAGATGGGCATAAGGGCAATCTTAATCATGTTGTCTTAGAATAAGCTCTGTATTCTGTTCCACTACTCTAATTCTTTATCCTTGCAACAGTATTGCAATGTCTTAATTATGGTTTTATACTAATCTTATCTTTTATGCAAGTTGGTTCACTTTGTTTTTTTTTAAATATATATATATATATATATTTATTGATTTTTTACAGAGAGGAAGGGAGAGGGATAGAGAGTTAGAAACATCGATGAGAGAGAAACATCGATCAGCTGCCTCCTGCACGCCCCCTACTGGGGATGTGCCCGCAACCAAGGTACATGCCCTTGACCGGAATCGAACCTGGGACCCCTGAGTCCGCAGGCTGATGCTCTATCCACTGAGCCAAACCGGTTAGGGCAGTTCACTTTGTTTTGTTTTTTCTTTAAATTACTGTTGTTCTTATTTTGCTCTTTCATATAATTTTTAGTTCCATGAAAATACATGTTAGAATATTTATTGAAATTGCAAAAGATATTTTAAATTGTTTTAGATATTCAGTATCCTTTAAGATATTGAATCTTTTCATTAATAAACATATTTTATGTATCTCCATAATCCGATCATTTTTAATGTTTCTCAGTGATTCCTTAGTTTTTTATCATTTATTACAATAAATTACATGGCTACATGCTGAAAGCTTCAAAATTTTTCTCTCTAGGCTAACCCACTTCCCTAATGACCAGACTTTAATATCTAGTTTTCCCCTTGACATTTCCACTTTGATATCTAGAGGACAATTAAAACTTGAAATAGCCAAAATGGAATTCTGGTTGTTCCATCCCCATCTCATTCTGTTGCTGCTTCTGTCTTCCCGATTTTACTGATGGCATGGCCATTCATCTGGTTGCTTGGGGGGAAAACCTGGAGATTTTCTTTATTCAGTCAGTAAGTGGTTATTGAACATATAGCCTGTGGTAAGCACTGTTTATGCATCTGGGGAAAAATAGTAAAGAAAACAAACAAGAGTCCTTGCTCTTGTGAAGCTTATAATCTTAACTAGAAGCTCGGTGCATGGATTTGTGCACAGGTGGGGTCCCTTGGCCTGGCCTGCAGGGATGGGGCCAAAACTGGCTAACATCTCTTGAGGGGTCCCTGATTAGGAGAGGGCGGTTCTTGGGTGACGCACCCGGGAATCGGGCTCCCTCCTCTCTGGTTCCTGGTGTGTCACCTGAGAACCGCAGCTGCCAAGTCACTGCAGCTCGAGCTCATGCATGGAATGCCTGCCCCCTGCTGGTCAGTGCATGTCATAGTTACCAGTCGGATGGTTGAACAGTTGGATGGTTGCTTAGGCTTTTATGATATCTAATGGCTATTTTTTTCTGTCTAATCCTTTAACAAGTCCTATCAATTTTACCAAAAATATTTATCTTGAATCTATGTATTTTTGTCCATCTTATCTGTCAACACCTTAGCCTATACCACCATCATCTCTATCTTGGGCAACAGAACTGTCATCATATATGGCATCCATGTTTGTACTAATGTCTCTCTAATCTACTTTCTATATAAAAGTCAAATTATAAATATATTTATCCCAGTGATTGCTTTTCTTAGCTATTTATAGTAAAATGCAACCATTTTTATGGCTTAATCAGACTCTTTTTTAAAAAAAAAATGTTTTTATTGATTTCAGAGAGAGGAAGGGTGAGGGAGAGAGGGATAGAAACATCAAGGATGAGAGAATTATTGATCAGCTGCCTCCTGCACACTCCCTACTGGGGGTAGAGCCCTCAACCTGGTCATGTACCCTGACTGGGAAATGAACTATGACCTCCTAGGTTCACAGGTCAATGCTCAACCACTGTGCCATACCAACTGGGCTTAATCAGACTCTTGTGATCTTCCTATTGTCTAACTTCCAGCCCCATCCAATATTATTTTCCTTTTTAATCCTCAGATCTCTGTGCACTGGCCTTTGTTTCTAGAACACAGTAAGCTCCTTTGCACCTGAGGGAGTTTGCAGTTGGCCGTTTCCCAGTGCTCTTTTCCCATATGGCCGTGTAGACAGCAACTGTTATGTTCAATTTGTGAGGACTCCGCTCAAATATCATCTCCTCAGAGATCAATCCCTTAAATCACTCCTGCAGTTCTATCATATCATGTTGCCATATTTATTTCTTTTAGAGTCTATCACAACCTCAAATTATATTTTATATTATCTTGTTACTTTTATTGTATATTTTCACACTGAAAAATAACCTTCATGATGGCAATGATTTAGTCTTCCTTATTCACTGCTTATAACCAACTGCACCTAGCAAAAAATGCAGCATTTTCTTGTCCTATATATGTGAATGATCAGGATTTTAGAATAATAAATCATTCTATTCATAGAGGACAGTAAGGTTTTCGCCAACATCTTGATGACACTTTTCCTAACATGGCGTGTCTTCTTTTTGACAACATAAAAAATACAGTATAATTATTGAATTGTAACTAATGAAAAAAAATCCTTTAAATGGCTGATTAATATATAGTTGCTAGCCAAGAGTGAGGCCTCTCTTGGTGGGCTGAAATTATTTGCTTTTGACCTAGCTCATTTCAGTGTTTTCCTAGTGATTTGGATAAAATTATAGGATAATATTGTTAAAACTTTAGTTAAAAATAAGAGGATAAAGGAAACATATTAGCTGAAAGACCCAGTCACAAAGAATTTGGGTATTCTAGAATATAGACTAAATCTAAATATCCAGATGAAATATACTAAGTATAATAATTAAACCATATATACTGAGCACTCTAAAACAAACTGCAAAGATAGAGAATGGAAGAAATACAGCTTAGCAAAAATTTACCCTCCAGAAAACCTACAGGTTTTAGTTGATAGCAATCTCAATGTGAATCAACAGTATAATACTAGTAGCCTGGTGCACAAAATTCGTGCACATTAAAAGGGAATTAATTTCCCTAACCGGTTTGGCTCAGTGGATAGAGCATCGGCTTGCAAACTGAAGGGTCCCAGGTTCGATTCTGGTCAAGGGCATGTACCTTGGTTGCGGGCACATCTCCAGTGGGGAGTGTGCAGGAGGCAGCTGATCGATGTTTCTCTCTCATCGATGTTGCTAACTCTCTATCCCTCTCCCTTCCTCTCTGTAAAAAATCAATAAAATATAATTTTTAAAAATGGAATTAATTAGCAGAGATATTTTAACATTGCTATTTGCCCTTTCTCTATAATAGAAATGTGAGAGATGAAAGGAAATTAGTAAAATGTATATGAAAATAATATATAAATGTATTAATAAATAAACTAACAAAAGGATATAACAACAACAGGGGCATGATATAAAAACAACAAAAACATGATATGAAAACAACAAAAACATGATATAAAAACAACAGTGATGCAAACAATGACTGATAAAGTGATTAAACTTATTCTAATATTTCCCTGTATACCACATTAAGAGTGAAAACACTTTCAGAGTGCTTGACTAATTTCCCTTGTGATGAAGTACTTAGAACTTTAACTGTAACATCACATGCTCTTCAAACTCTAGAGAAAGCAACATATAACTGACCATGTGCAAAAACGGGTTCAGGTAGGAACATGCCTACTCTGTCTAGAGTTTGTCCTTGTGATTTATTAATAGTCATCACAAATGCTGGCATCACGGGAAACTGTCGTTGAATCAATTTAAATGGGAGGCCAGTGTCAGATGGGGACAAATTAATTCTTGGAATCAGAACAGCCTCTCCTTCTGCAGATCCAGTTAATACTTCAGCTTCGATAATGTTAGGTCATAATCTTTTGATAATAAATCTGGTACCATTACAAAGACCCCATTTACTATTGATATTTCTCAATAGCATGATGATTGCACCCACTTTCAATTTTAATTTATTACAGGGCATTCCTGAAGGAGTAATACTATTCAGAAATTCGATGGGGAAATTTTCCTTTGTTTCTTTGTTATGGGGTGGGGCCACAACATTAGTAACAAAGAAACAGAATTAAAACTTTATTGTGGGGAGCCACTACAGTGTTTTGGCCAGGTTCAAGCCTTGGACTGATGAGAGGGCACAGTCCTGTCATTGCCACGTGCAAGTCCCAGCTTGGAGGGCGGGGCCCTCCCAGCATAATTATAGCCAACAGCTGTAGTTGTAAGCTTGAACCTATGGTCAGAACATGTGGCCCCACATGCCTGAGTGATGTGGGCTTGATAGAGTTCAGGTGCATGTAGTTGAGTAGGATTGAAACCCAGGAGAATGTTTGTAAACATCTTGGTCACGCCCTTACTTTGCCTCGTAGCATCTGCTATAAAATAAAGGCATGGCTGTGGGCATGGTCGCTGTCTCTCAGAGAAGCAGCGTCCCACCGAGACCCGGCTTTCATTCTCTTGTCTGTCTTTTCTAAGCCTTTCAGCTGCCCCACTCAGGTTCACCCCATGCTGGCGCGGCACACTTTAGAAAGATCTGCCTCCATGTTCCCAGGGCAGGTTCCTGCCTCAAACTCCGCCCTTACAGGAAACAGCTCCAGGAAACAGCTTGGGGGAGGGCAC